TACATTAAAAAATGGTTATTTTTTAAGCAATAAAACTAAAAAATTAAAAGAACAAATTTTTATTAGAAAAAATAAATATTCCGTTGCCGAGTATTGAACGCTCGGATCGCTCGAAAGTGCTCTGCTCATTGGGCCATTGGCACCGTTACAGCAACGTTATAGAAATCGAAATTTATTGGAAACAAACAAAAAATTTCAAAAACATTCGTTAAAGAGTTAAGTAAAGGTTTTTCTTTACTTAACTTTAATGTATAATTTACTTTAATTTAACGAATCATTAACTGACTCTGAGAGGGAATTTTTTCAAATCGTTACTAAGGAGCACCTTAAGTAATCATAAAGCGACTCTGAGTGCGGCTGTTAATTTCCAAAAAGTGGGCGCAAGTTTGGTAAAATGCACTGTCTGCTGACAGCTCGGTAAGCGCAGGAGTAATAGTCGCATGTCGCATAAAATCTAATCATTACACACTTTATAACTGCGACTAGCACTTCACACATCCAAGTTTGATTCGTTATATCTCCGGCTTAATATTATATTGAGATGAAACTTGCTCCTTTCCGTTGGAAATTAAGTCTTCCTCACCAATTTGCATTTTGATATTTTTTGCATGGCTTAAAGTTACCGAGCAAATGTGCCTTTGAATACATTTTTTAAACTAATTTCTTACAGTTATGATTGCCATATCGTCTACCATACAAGAGATATAAAAAGGATTTGAACAAAAGTTTATGGAGATGTGTAGGCTTTGAAACGAATGCCCTAACCAATACAGTCAGAATCAAAAGTATGGGGACTCATCGCAGTAACTATCAAAAACATGGCTATTCGCGGTTTTTGCAAATTTAAAGTTAAAATAACAATTTTTTTCAATAAAACGAAATGAATATTGTTCACGGGAATGCCCACCAAATGTGTTACAGTGCATTAAGGTAAATCGAGATATATTTTGACTCCTTCTCTAGAAGCACTTGGTTATGATGACAGAATATGAGTTCCAGGAAAAACTGAATGGGCAAGGACTTTTGGGTTAAACCATATTTAAGCGCAACGTGAGAGAATGAAGATGCCCTTTGCGATAGAAAAACCTGGTGGAAATCTTTTTCTTGGTCCCACTTGGCAGTCCAGTTAGCATAGAAGAGAAACTACTTGCCAAAGTCGCTTAGGTGCTTAGACGGCTGAACAAGATTCAGCTTTTATGGCAAGTCAAACTATATAACACATTTTGCGTACTCTGTGTGTGACAAGAATTTACATATTTACATACGTATACTAGTGCATATGGATGTATGTATAGAGTAGCGATACATTATTTATGTAAATATAAAGCAGAGATAATACGATTTGTACATTTTGGCAGTTACAGAGTGGCGAACGTCTAGAAATAATGAATTCAGCTCAATAACAACTTTCCAAACACCACCACTCTCTAACTGTGAAAATATACAAATCTGTACAAATGCACAAATCGTGTGATCCCAGCTTAACACTTTGCATGTTTGTATTTGTCAGAAAATCACAACTACACACATAAACACCAACCAATGATAGCGTATGCACGTTCTTCGCCTACTGGAAAGTGTTAAAAGCGGCGGTCTCGTATTTCACTTAAAACAGGGAACTGAAATGAAAACTACCTGCGGATATGAACTGTCTTCGCGTGTTGCTCAATTGCTGTTGGCTACATACAATCTGTATTTCCAAATACGCTCACCTTTATTTTTTATTTAATCTCGTATCTTGTTATTATTCCATAACACTCATTCGCATCATAACGTTGTCACAACATATTTGTTTACAATTCATTCATAAATCCTAAAATTTGCGCCGTCCGCATCAATTACAGAGATCGATAGAAACAGAAGAGGCAAAATGTAACTTACACAAAAATCCAACTGCTTGGCTTGAGCTCATTTTTTATTTTTTTTTTTTTTTCGTTACAGCAATACAACACCGATAACAATGTCTCAGGCAGCAACCTGTTACAAGGGTATCATCTTCTTGACCACATTCGCTGTGCTGGCGCATTGCACTTTCGAGCCAGCGTTTACTGGCAGTGGCGGCAGCGACCAATCAGAGCAATTTGTCAGCGACGCGGGCGACAAAAATAACTATGGTGTGTATAATTTAATAATGCAATAAATACAAGTGAAATATTGTACAATCATCAGTTCAGTCAAATTAGCATTTGACCCTCAAGATCCCTTTCAGGGGCACAAGTAGCCTTGCCAAATTGGGACGATATCAAACCCAGAGATTTTTCGGTTGGGGAGAGTCATCTACTGTTATCCTTCGGTCTTGTTTAAAACAAAAAAATTTACTTATTTTTTTTTTAACGAGTACTTTTCTTCAAAAAATACTTTCAGAAACAAGTTGCTTTGTTACGACCCACGTAAAAAATTGCCGATTTAAAATTTAAATTCATAAATAACTTTGCCTTACCAGTTTTATCATCGCTCTGTGTCTCGGATCGATCCATTTTCGTTGACATTATAGTAAATATCTTTTCAAAATAATCGTTGCTCATAGAAGATATCAAAATTCTATGAAGCTTTGATATGCAAACAATACTTATGTTAACAGGGCTTTGTATTAAATCAAAGCAAGTTCCTGTAGAATCATACACAAATTCAGCTTAAACCCTGCTGTATTTTTTTGGTATACGGTCCAGCGATGGAATTTAAAAATTTCAAAATGTACCCAATGATCTTAGAAAATAGTGCCGAAATGAAAGTGCCACAAAATTAAATTTCTTTTAAAGCGTTTTAAGAAGAATATATTTTAGAAATATTTTTAAAATACAGTGAAGTAATGTAATAATTATTAATTAACTAAATTGCTACAGTAAATCGCTTTTATGAAGGATTCCTTAGACACATTTTTACCCCGTAAAATTTGTTAAAAAAAAATCGTTAAATCTAGTATATTAACGCGCAATTGTAAGTCGCTAAGACTTACCATTAATTTTTGGCATTTTTTTGTTTACGGTGTTACGCAATTTTTTTATAAAATGTAAATATGTGCAACCATTTTTTGAAAGAGAAGCAAATGAGCAGCACCTGCCACTCGCCCTTTATTATACTCAATTTTACAAAAGTTACAAAACTGCAAACCAAATATTTTTCTAAAGATTCTAATTAAAAGGTTTGAAATTTTAATGACATTGCAGAATTAATTTTTATAGTTTTTTGCACAAAAGTTGGAAATTTGGTATTATATGGTTTTTGTTAGGAAAGGGGCTTTACTTTCATAAAATAAATAATAAACATTAAATAATCTAAGGAAAAATAGCCAAAACTTACTAAAATGTCGAGTCCTAATTTCTATTTCGGTCACTGTATGTATTCCTTTATTCGATTCACAGGCATTTAGATTAGAAAATAATAACTGTTTATGGAGAAAATT